CTTTCTTGTCTGGGAAAGTTTTTATATGTCCATCGATTCTAAATGACAGCTTTGCAGGATAGAGTAATCTTGGTTGTAGGTTCTTGGTTTTCATCACTCTGAATATTTCTTGCCACTCCCTTCTGGCCTGCAAAGTTTCTTTTGAGAAATCAGCTGACAGCCTAATGGGAACTCCCTTGTAGGTAACTAGCTGCCTTTCTCTTGCTGCTTTTAAGATTCTCTCTTTGTCTTGAACCTTTTGCATTTTGATGATGATGTATCTTGGTGTGGGCCTCTTGGGGTTCATCTTGTTTGGGACTCTCTGTGCTTCCTGGACTTGTATGTCTGTTTCCTTCACCAAGTTAGGAAAGTTTTCTGCCATTATTGTTTCAAACACAGGTTTTTGATTTCTTGTTCTCCCTCTTCTCCTTCTGGCACCCCCAAGATGCGAATGTTGGCACGCTTGAAGTTGTCCCAGAGGCTTCTTACACTCTCATTTTTTTTGGCTTCTGTTTTCTTTTTGCTGTTCTGATTGGGCGTTTTTTGCTTCCTTATATTCCAAATAGATGGTTTGCTTCTTGGATTTACGTACTCTACTACTGAATCTGTGTAAATTATTCTTTATTTCAGTTAATGCCTCCTTCATTTCTGACTGTGCATCCATGATTTCTGACTGGTCCTTTTTTATGCTCTGGAGGCCCTAAGTTCACTGAGATTCTCACTAAGTTCATTGAGCATCCTTATAAGCAGTATTTTGAACTCAGCATCTGTTAGGTTGCTTATCTCCATTTCCCTTAGTTCTTTTCTTGGGATTTTGTTCTGTTCTTTTATTTGGGACCTGTTTCTTTGTCTCCTCATTTTGGCTGCCTTCCTGTGTTTGTTTCAGTGTATTACTTAACGAGAGGTATGGGGCTAGCTGAGACCAGATGCTGCTCGTTTGAAAGAATTTAGGAAAAACCTGAAGCAGGATCCAAGACAGGCTAATCCTATGGGGTTAAGCAAGTGGCAACAGCTTGGGTGGGCCTGAAATTTGGGTGGGGCGGGGCCTGAGGGAGTCACCAGGGAGGGGCTACCAGTGTGAGCCAGGTTGCTGGAGTCCCAGATATGGCTTCTGTCTGCCGCCCCAGGGAAGGGCTCACCAAAGGAACAAAGACCTCTGACAGCACGTTTGTCCCTGAGAAAGCCCCCTTTCCAGCCCTTACTCCAGTGCCAAACAGCTGAGTTCTTCCCTGTCTCTGGCGCCCCTCGAGCTGCCTCCCCTCCAAGCTTAGAGGGAAAGAGTCCGATAAGTTCATGTGCAGGCCCTTTAAGGAGCTGCCTGGGGCTCCAGCCGCCTCAGCCTCCCTGAGCCTCAGTTCCTGCTGGTTTTTCCAGCCAGAAGTTATGGGGATTCTCTTCCTAATACCAGATCTTTTTAAAAGCATCCTACTATTCCAACAACATGTCCAACTTAGTCCTTTTTATCTTTCTACTAAAGAATGTAAGTCTGGCCCTGGCCAGTTTGGGTCAGCTGTTAGAGCGTCAGTCTGCGGACCAGAGAGTCCTGGGTTCGGTTCCCGCTAAGGGCATGTGCCTCGCTCAGTTGCAGTTTATCCCCAGCCCTGTTGGGGTCGTGTGGGTGGCAGCCAGTCAATGTGTCTCTCTCACAGTGACATTTCTCTCTCTCTCTCTTCCTCCCTCTCTCTCTCCTGCTCTATCTGGAGATGAATGCAAAAATGTCTTCAGGTGAGGATTAAAAACAAAAGAATATTAAGTCTGTATCCTTACATCAAGGATTTCAGCTTAGTTAAAAAATAGCAAGATTTGCATTGCCAATGATGTATCAGATAAGGGGTTAATTTCCAATATATATAGAGTGCTCATACAACTCCACAAAAGGAAGACAAAGAACCCAATTAAAAAATGGGCAGAGGAGCTGAATAGACACCTCTCCAAACAGGACATACAAATGGCCAAGAGACATATGAAGAAATGCTCAACATCACTAATCATCAGAGAGATGCAAATTAAACCAACAATGAGGTATCACTTCACACCTGTCAGAATGGCCGCCATCAACAAATCATCAAACAACAAGTGTTGGCGAGGGTGTGGAGAAAAGGGGACTCTAATACACTGCTGGTGGGAATGCAGACTGGTGCGGCTGCTATGGAAAACAATATGGTGCTACCTCAAAAAATTAAAAATTGAACTTCCATTTGACCCAGTGATCCCACTGCTGGGAATATACCCTAAGAAGCCTGAAACACCAATCAGGAAGAATATATGTACCCCCATGTTCATAGCTGCACTATTTACAATAGCTAAGATCTGGAAACAGCCCAAGTGTCCACCAGTAGACGAATGGATAAAAAAGCTGTGGTACATATACACAATGGAGTACTATGCAGCGGTAAGAAAGAAAGATCTCTTATCTTTTGAGACGACATGGAGGGACCTGGAAAGTATTATCCTAAGTGAAAGAAGCCAAGCAGAAAAGGACAAATACCACATGATCTCACTTATATATGGAATATAATGAACATAACAGTCTGAGGAATACAGTAGACCCAGACACATGGAAGTAGGGCACAGACTGACATCCCTCAGAAGAGGGGATGGGGGGTTGGGGGTTGGGAAGAGATAAACCACAGAACTTATATGCATGTATGCATGACCAATGGACATGGACAACTAAGCCGGGGACGGGGCGGAGGTGGGGTGGGGTGGGGGGTGCCAATGGGGTAAAAAGGTAAAATATCTGTAACAAAAAAATAAATAAAAATTCATAAAAAAAAAAAAAAAATAGCAAGATTTGTACAAGGCAAATGAGACCAAAAAGAAAAGCTACAAATAATCAAGAATGTAACAACTCCAGTAAGAAAGTGCTCAATGCCCTGGCCAGTTTGGCTCAGATATGGCTCAGCAGTTAGAGCATTTGCCTGCGGTCCAGAGAGACCGGGGTTCAGTTCCTGCTAAGGGGCACGTACCTCTGTTGCAATTTGTCCCCAGCCCTGGTTGAATTGTGTGGGAGGCAGCCACTCGATGTGTCCCTTTCACGTCGATGTTTCTCTCTCTCTCTCTCTCTCCCTCTCTCTCCCTCCCACTCTATCTGAACAAAAAATGGAAAAATGTCCTCGGGCGAGGATAAAAAAAAAAAGAAAGTTCTCAATAAATGATGAAGATACGTCAATATGTCAAAAGGACACAAAAGCCGACTTTACAAAGCTCCCAATGATTACAGCTAGAACAACAGAGCAATAAAATAAATAAAGATAGAATTTGGATTATAACCCATAGGATAAGATAAAATAAATACTTAAAATCCATACTGAAATAAATAACTGAATAAATAAATAATTGGGGGGAGATGTGAGAGCACTTCTTTAAAACAGAATTGAAATTAATACATGTGGAAGAAATAAGAGAAACAGAAAAATCACTTAGATAAACACCAAAGTAATAATAGTTGCAGGCAAGAACCATCAGTAGGTGCTGAAATCAATGGACTTAAGTATGATGAGAAACAGAACATCTATACAGTCTCAAAGCATCACCCCACAAGATACTTAGTAACTACAAAGAGAAAAATCACTTAACTCTATAGTGAAGAAACCTGAAATACACAATCTCAACCAAGCGGTCAAAGTTAGCATATGAGTAACAAGACATATGTACTCCCTGATGTGGTGCACAGAAAATGGTACAACGTCACTTCTGTGGTATTCTTGGAAAATGATGCATTTCTCACTCTAATAAAGAGAAGACATTAGATGAACCCTTAGTGAGTGACATTTTATAAAATAACTAACCAGTGCTATGTTTAAAATTATGAAAGACAAAGAAATACAGGAATTGTCACAGGTTGGGAAGACTAAGAAGACATGAAAAGTTTATACAATTTATATCCTGGGGATCTTGGACCAAAAAAGGACATTAATGGAAAAACTGGCAAAATTCAAATAAGGCTTGTGGAAAAATTAACAGTGTTAAAACAATTTAATTTTCTTTAAAATTTGCATAAATTTCCTGTAAATCTAAATTTATTTAAATAAAAAGCTGAGTTTTTTGTTTGCTTTTTTAAACCTCACCCGAGGATATTTTCTCAAATATCTCCAGATAGAGTCGGGGGTGGGGAGAGAGAAACATAGATGTGAGAGGGACATATCAACTGGTTGCCTCCCACATGACCCTGACCAGGGCCGGGAATGAACTGCAACTGAGGTATGTGCCACCCTTGGCTGGAATCAAACCTGCAACTCTTTGGTCCACGAGCTGATGCTCTACCGCTGAGCCAAACTGCCCAGGGCTGAGGTTTTTGTTTTTTGTTTTCGTTTTTTTTTTTAATGCAACTTCTGTAGGCATGAGATCTTACCATTTCAGTACCATTATAAAAAATTACTCATTTGAGCCCTGGCCGGTATGCTCAGTGGTTAGAGCATCAGCCCGCAGACTGGAGAATCCCGGGTTTGGTTCCCGCTAAGGGCATGTACCTTGGTTGCAGTTTGTCCCCGGCCCTGGTTGGGGTTGTGTGGGTGGCAACCAGTCCATGTATCTCTCTCACATCAATGTTTCTCTCTCTCTCTTCCCCCCTTCTCCCTCCCGCTCTATCTGAAGATAAACGCAAAAAATGTCCTCTGATAAGGATAAAAAAAAATTACTCATTTGAGCTAGCTATTAAAATTTTCCTATTAGGAGAGATTATCAAACGATATCAAATTCAGAATCTCAAAACTCAACTCTTATTAATATATACTGGATTACAGAGACATAACTAGAAAACAAGTCAGTGAATGAAAAGTACACTTGCGAAACATGACATGGCACTCTGTTAGCAAAGATATATGCCCCCAAAAAGACATAAAGCAATGACACACAACACAAATTAAAACTTAAAACATAAAATGTCAAGAACTGGACAAAACCAACTGAATCAACATGTGATGAGATTATGACTTGATGAATTGCTGTGGCCAATACTTATGAGTCTGGCAAAAAAAGGCTTTTCATTAGGTAAAGGTTGGACTGGTTCTGTTACATACCCAGATTTCAAGTCAGTTATCCTCAAACAGTTGGTAGCATCCAGTCCCACTTTTCCATTGCGGACCACACTAGATATGAATGGGGAGAGCATTGGAGAAATTCGGTTCAAGGCCACTTCTGGGGACATTTTAACTTGACTTGCAAATCACCACTGAAAGCAAAAGGAAAGAATGGTGATCAGAGTATACAAAAGAACTACAAATTAACAAGCTTCCTGAAAACTGGCACAGCACACAGAAGTTTCTCTTGCATGAATGAATACCTCATTTCCTGTCTTAAGCAGCCTCTCCCAATGAAACCATCTCCCTGCTGCTCACCTACTTAGGACATAGACTACACCACTGCTTTTCAGGAACAGAGGCAACCCTTGAAATCCAATTCCCTCCTCCTTCCCAAAGCTGTCACACTTCACTTAAAGCTGTCCCACTCTGTCTTACAACTGGCACATTCTACTTTAGTTGAGATCTTAAGAAGCCTTCGCTGACAATCCTCTAACTCCGACACACAAAGCCTACATAACACTAGGTTAGGAATCCTCCCTCTGTGAGTTAGAACTTGGCTGGTAATACTGTATAAAAACCTAGAACAAGCATAATCTGCTTGCAATTGTTACTTGCTAAAAATTACTTTCTTCTGATATACTTCTCTTCATAACTGTTCCTGCACAGTGTATTATAACCACCTGCTTGGTGATCAAGAGATCACAGATGAAACCTCTAATAAATAGTTTTGTTGTTGTTGTTAATCCTCACCTGAGGATATCTTTCCATTGATTTTTAGATAGGGTAGGAGGGAGGGGGAGAGGAGGAGAGAGAGAGAGGAAGGGAGGGGGGGAGAGAGAGAGAGGAAGGGAGGGGGGGAGGGAGAGAGAGAGGGAGAGAGAGGGGGGAGAGAGAGAGAGAGAGAGAGAGAGAGAGAGAGAGAGAAACATCCATGTGAGAGAGAAACATCCATGTGAGAGAGACACATGGATTGGTCACCTCCTGCACGACCCAGACCAGGGACCAGGGTTGAACCCACAACCCAGGTATGTGCCCTTGACTATGAATCAAACCCATGACTCTTAGGTCCTTGGACCAACATTCTAACCCCTGAACCAAACTGGCCAGGGCCCCAATAAACATTTTTAAATAAATAAATGAATAAGAAAACAAAAGCTAGAGAAATATTTAGGTATGCAAAGAAGATGATATGCCCTCAAAAATTTGGCAGAGGATAGCATATCTGAGGAATAGATGTAACAAAAATCTACTTAAGAGTTAAATCATGAAAACATACACCTATCCAGATATTCAGCAACACAAACTAACATGGATCCAAAAGTCTTTGATTGTAAGGCAATAAGAAGCTCTCAAACTTGAAAATACAAAAGTAAAACCAATAAATCATATCTAAACTACTTGGAAACCCACAGGGTTGGGGAATGAAGTACATGAATTCCTCTTAATAGATTTCTAAATGAAAGCCTCTACTTTCAAAGGTGGATAAGTCAACTTAAATGATCATTTTCTTCCTCAATCTGAAAGGATAATCCCACATCAAAAGCAATTAATTTCTCACAAATTACAAGTAAATGATGTTCTCCTTCTAGTTTCCATATATTATAGCATATGAGGACTTACATGTCCCTGCTAAAATAAATGTTGAAAACTAGTACGTGTTTTAATCATTTCAGAAGTAATAAAGGAAAGAATTGCGCTGATCTTTCAAAATATAATAATACTGTGACCTTTTGGGTAATGACACCCAGAAGTATCTTTGAGTCAGTACCCAAATTATCCTTTCTGCAAATATAAAACAAGCTCCTTTTGCAACCACTTAAAAGATGGTTTTCTTCCACCATCCAACTTATCACCACAAAGTAAGACTAAACATCTAATGCATGTTATTATCAATCATGTGCATTATGTGGCTCAGTGATTGAGTGTCAACCCATGCACCAAGAGGCACAGGCCCAGGTTGTGGACCTGATCCCCAGTGGGGGGAATGCAGGAGGTGGCCACTCAATGTTCTCTCTTATCAACGTTTCTATCTCTCTCTCCCTCTCCATTCCTCTTTCTCTAAAAAAAATAAAATAAAGTTTTTTAAAAATCATGTGCAATTTTATAACACTTGATCACTTACAAAGAGCTTCCATATACATTATTGCAGTTGATCTTCACAACCCTGGGCTGTAAGGAATTCCCACTTTACAGATGATACAGATAACTTTTATAATGTCTTTGAAAAGTATACTAATCCATATTATCATTTTGAAGCCTACTTTTTTCTATTCTGCAATTATTTGCACCTTTTTTTCTAACCACTGATGTCACAGTTCTTGAAAGGATGATTATCTAGATCACATGCAAATACAAAAATACTTATCTGGGGGGAGGGGATCTCACCTGCATTACAAAATTATTCTTCCTTGTTTTTCCCATAATCTTAATTATGAGAAATGTCTATTATAATTTTATCTCTCATTTTTATGAAAAAAGGAAAGAGAACATTCTGAACATTTACTCAGTATCAAGTGCTGTATTACCCACTTATATCTGTAATTTCATTTACTTCCCCTGAACCCTGTCCTCTGATTAATAGTAGTTTCCACTTCACAGATAAGAAAACTAATACTCAGCAAGATTAACTAACTTGTTCAAAGTCACCAACCTTGCAATAGAAGGATCAGAACTCACATCCATATCTCCCTCAAAGTCCACTATTCTCATTTTCCTCTCAAATAAACATGACTTCAATCACCAGAGGAAAGCAAGAAAGTGAATTTTTAAGTATGTATACATCTTCTAAAAATTGGACAAAATGGCATAAATTTAAACTCATGGTTGCTTTGCAACTAGAAACAATTTAGACTACTGCTGGCCTACTGCTGAAACTGGCCTGACTTATCACACTAGTCAAATGGTAAAAGGAACAAACCTGCTCCAGAAGCCAAACTATACTTATGGTGACAACAACCCATTCCATTTCAGCAACTGTCATGACCTTAGAATGGCACTTGATGAAATAAATTTGTCTTTGTTTCCAGAAAAGCCAAAATACTATTTTTTGACAGTTCAAGGTTTCATGCAGTGTAAAATCTGTTTCAACCATGAGGTCCTATGACTTCTCTAAAAGAGAGCGGAAAAATACTCCAAAATCAGAGGGCACAAAATATACCTCCTTTAGTGCAGTCCTTTTGAGCCACGGGCATGGCTGAGGGGCATCATCCCCCAGCAGTAGCTTTTACACATCTCAGCACTGTTAATAGATCGCAGACAGGCAAAAATGTATGGTGGCCAGCCTCCCTTGAATGCTAGTTAGGAAATTTGTATTTCCTTATTTTGACATATTACAGAAGGAAAATGCAGAAATACAATTTTTACAGGTGTCTGCTGCCTCAAGCTAAGGTCACATAAGGTCCTTTGATCGGCCACCTGGGGAATACAAAGACGTCTAAAGCGTCCTCCAGTTTCGTGCAATTAAGAGGGGATGACAAACACGGAAACATGTGCCCTGCTGACGTCATGGAACGGAAAGGGGTAGCGTCCAGCTGCGTCACGTCGACGTCATACAGCGCACGAGGGAAGTTACACTAGGGAAGTAATTTATCCAAGGTGCAACACTCAAGAAAAACAAGCCGGCTACGACCCGAAGAATGACCACCCCACTCTAGGAGGCATTTAAAAGGGGCACTCTGCCAAATCTTATGATCCCCTCCTCAAGCGGGAAGGATAAGCAGGTTAACCAGGGACCGGGCACCGACTAGACAAGGAGAAAGAGTAACGCCTGGCCTTCGGGTCTCGTTCTTGAGGAGAAGAGCGTGATGGGGATGAGCAGAGCATCTTTGGCATGGGGGCCTTCTCTATAGGAAGGGAAGGCGAGCTCTGGGCATATTTAAACCACGGTCCTCAGCACCACCTGTGCAACTCGGGATCCAACCTCCCCACACCAGCCCCAGTCTAGGTACCTGGAACTTAGTCCGTTCGGTAACCGGCGACTACGTGGGGTACAGGTTACCCGAGCGCGCCCCCGACCGACGCACCGACCTGCGCGCGCACCGCAGGCCGATGCGTGCGCGCCCCCGGACGTCCGCCAGCCCCGCCCCGTCTGCGGCCCAGTCTGGCGGCGTGCACGCTTCGGGCCGCACCGAGCCGGGTGCTCGGAAAGGCGTCTACGTAGTGCCTGAAAGTTCCTTCTTCCGCGCTCTCCTTGTGCGTGGCGAGCAACTTGGAGTCTGGAACTATCAGAAGGGCCTTATATGGGAGGCGGTACAGGGAGACAATTTCTGGAAGAACTGGGAGCAGTTGGTGGGCGGGGTTATTTCGGGCATTCAGGTGGGCGACCCGCGTAGGCGTCTGTGAGGCCCGGGTAGTTAGGGAGCGTAGGAGCGGCGTCTCTGGTTACGGGGCCGACCAAAGGGTAAAGGGCAGCTTCCAGATTGGAGAGCACCACCTTTGAGCAATGGCCGCGTCTGGGGAACCCGGGAGGCAGTGGCAGGAGGAGGTGGCGGCGGCGGTGGTGGTGGTGGGCTCCTGCATGACCGACCTGGTCAGGTTAGTCTGGGACCAGTACGCAGAGTCCGGCTTGCGGGAGGGAGCGGACTGTGTGCTCTTGTCCCTGCGGTGTCACTGGGGCTTTGAGGATGGAGAGTGTTAGCTTTTGGTATGAGCTACAGGTATCCTCAGCCCGCAGTGTGCCGTGATGGGGTGCAGAAGGTAGGATAAGTTTGTCAGATGAGGGAACATAAAGGCCAAGGTGTAGTGAAGGTTCTAATGGTACTAGAGGCGCCTCCAAAAGCCTTGCTCCTGTTTTCTTGACCATGCTGCTGAGCCTGTCCCGACTAACCGAGTGAGTTTGGCCAAGTCATTTTACCCCAAAAAATCTAATGTGCCTGCTTTCGGACTAAAGTAAAGGGCCCAGAACACTGTCCAAGTTGTGCATTCTTCATCTGAACTTCTATAAAATGAGTGGAGCAGGGGTCAAAAAGGCAGTCAGTCAGTCATCTTTCACCATATTGATTGTTGGCATCCTTGCAGTAGTACATATTTACAAATTATTTTACAATATTATAGCAACCATGGATTACCAATTGCAACCCAAGTGTGCGTCAAAATAAAAACTGGCAAACACAGCATGTACAACCATTTTTTAAAGTGATCAAATAATGAAAGAAAATATGCTGAGTGAAAATAATTGAGTTAAATTGGTGAGATTAGATGGGGAGATCCTTTCAGTTTATCTTCCTTTTTTTTTTAAAGTGGCTTTTCTGATTATAAAAGTAGTATCCATGTAAAACATACACACACAGATATTCCAAGAAAACGCAGATTGCTTCAGTTTAATATTTTGGTGAACAGCTTTTCAGTATAATACTATTCTTATATTATAAAAATAAACAATGATCAGGCATACTACAGTAAGACCTCATCTGCCCTGCAACCTTGCTTTTCCAAAGGATGGCAGAGAACCTAGAAATAAATAAAAAGGCCTTGGGACAATCAAAATAAGTCACCAAATCCCTGCACCAGACACCTGTATTTTACCTGGAAAATAGTTCTACAGTCTTCACATAACCAATTTAATCTTATATAACTTAAAATGTTTATACGCTCAAATTTCCAGACCAAAATTAGAAAAGTGGAGAGTAGAAAAGGGAGAGACTGTTAGGGACAGATATAGCCTATGATTGTCCAAAACCTGAAAGTGAATGGGAGAGTGTAACAAGCAACAAAAGATTTTTAAATGCCAGAGAGCCTTAGTTTTCCCACAAATATTTGAGCCTTGGCAGCATTGAATTCAATCTAGTTATGAAGAGACCTACACATCTTTTTGTAGAGCAAGACTCAGCAAACCTTTCTGTAGAGGGCCAGATAGTAAATATTTAGGGTCTATTCTTTTTTTGTTTTTGTTTTTTTTAAACAATTCTTTCAAAATGTAAAAACTATTGCTATCTCCCAAGCCTTGCAAAAACAGCCTTCAGGCTATAGTTTGCTGACTGCTCTCTTGAGCATCATTGTCTTACAGCCCACTATAGTAATTGATGTTAGTAATATGACTCTTTTCAAGAATAGATAATATGGTACCCATTAAATTTTATATAAAAACAGGGCATGTGTTTCTTTTTAGAAATAGTTCCACCAAATATATTGAAAGTTTTTTACCTAAAGGAATAAACCTTCAGACATCTAAAATAATTTATTCCTTAGAAAATCCATCTAGCTAAATTTTTACCATAGGTGAAATGACAGAAGAGTAAGAAAGGATTTTTAAATCTCATTTCAGAGCTAGAGGAATTTAGAAATTATTTATCCCAGCCCTTCAGTTTATAGATAAGTAAACTGTCTTACATTGTGGATCACCTCTGTAATGTTCCCCCTATAGACTGTCTCCCATGACTTTTATACAAACTTCTGATGGTATCTGACTACTTCTACCTTTGAAGATATTTACAAAATACCTGAGTATAGTATTTTTAGATAAAGCCCTGAATCTGTGATAAACTTGAGTCCAGCTTTGCTGCTTGTAATACATATCATGGTTGTATTTTCCTATTGCTGCTGTAACAAATTATCACAAACTTAATGGCTTAAACAATACAAATGTAATACAGTTGTGGAAGTCAGCGTTCAGACAGATCTCACTGGACTAAAATCAAGGTGTCCATAGGGCTGTGTTCCTTTTTGAAGGCTCTAGGGGAAATGTTTTCTTACCTTTTCCAGCTTCTAGAGGCTGCCCACATTCCTTGATGCATGGCCCCTTCCTCCATCTTCAAAGCCAGCAATTGGTCAGTCAAGTTTTTCTCATATGTCGTCACTCTGACACTAAGATTCTATCTCCCATTCTACGTTATAAGAACCCTTGTGATTATATTAGGCCCAAACAGATAATTCAGGATACTCTCCTTATTTCAAGGTATCTTATTAGCAATCTTAATTACCTCTTGCCATGTAATATAATATATACATAAATTCCAGGGATTAGGCCCTGGCTGGTTTGGCTCAGCAGTTAGAGCATCAGCCTGTGGTTCAGGGACACCCGGGTTTGGTTCCCACTAAGGGCACGTACCTCAGTTGCGGTTTGTCCCCAACCCTGGTTGGGTCGTGCGGGTGGCAGCCACTCGATGTGTCCCTTTCACATCGATGTTTCTTTCTCACTCTTCCTCTCTCTCTCCCTCCCACTCTATCTGGACAAAAAATGGAAAGTGTCCTCAGGTGAGGATAAAAAAAAAAATTTCAGGATGTGGACATCTTTGGGGCAGGCTGAAGGATGAGAGGGGCATTACTCTGCCTACCACTGGTTAAGTTTAAAGTCAAAAGGTTTATTATACTTAGAGGATTATTGAAGCCTATCAATCCATCATCCACATTTTACAGATGAGATAACTAAGAGAGGTTGACTAACTCACCGCATAACACAGTGGCATACTGAAAGTTGGAATTCAGGTTTCCCAACCTTTATCTTTCCATTATATCATTCTGCCTCTAACTCTGTCTCGTATTTATTGCCCTTTTCATCTACAGTTAATTTGAGAGCTTGTAGTCTGTACATTCATTAACTGTTTACTTAGTAAGCTGATAAGGAATAATAACTAAGGACTTATAATTTCCTGGTCTAAAGATAGTATCTTCTTTACTATTCCTTATTTATTTCTAAGTTTAACTGGAACCAATCTGGACACCCATGCCTATATTGTAGAATCACGAGAAATAAAACTACTTCAGTAACTAAGCCCTCTTGGATGACATCCAAGTCCAACTCACTTCATATATTACATTACTGTGTGCCAGACTCTGCTAATTCAATCAATGAGCTACTTTTTTTATTCATTTCTAATTTTAGTCCTCTATGAATAGTAAGCTCTGTACTAATAATTTTTAAAAATCATTAGCTCATCTAACATGGCAAAGAGGACATTATTTAATACCTACCTATATTTATCATTATTCTCTTCCTTCTTGAACAGTCATCTCTGAAGCTCCACATTGCTAAAATAAATCAAGCCTGTTCTTATGGAAAATTAGGTCAGTTCCTCCAGAGATAGATTACCATGAAAAACAAATAACAAATGAACTTTTTTAGACATTAGGCTTATAGGCCTTGGTTAATCATGCTTTCACTAATAATCTTTATTTCTTATGACATATATTACACATTTTTTCAATTATTCATTCAACAAATATTTATTGATTTTTACTATGTGCCAAGCACTTTCCTAGGTGCAAAGGATACAGCAGTGAAAAATAGCCCAAAATCCCTGCATTGTGGGACTTACATCCTAGTGGAAGAGACAGTATCAATAGAAATAAGTAAAATATATAGTATATTAGATAAATGCTAAGGAGGAAAATAAAACAGAAAAGGGGGGTGGGAGTAGTCATTTTAGATCATTGACCAGAGAAAGCCTCGCTGAGTTGATTTTGAGTAAAGATCTAAAGGAGGAAAGGAAGTAAGCCATACAGATACCTGGGGCTTCCCAAATGCAAAATCCCTGAGGTGGGACCATGCCCAACAAGTGAACAACAAGGAGTTCAGTGTGGCTAAAGAAAATTGATTCAAAGACGTTGGGTCATACCCTGAATGAGATGAAAATCCCCTGGCGAATTTGAGCAGAGGAGTGACATAATCTGACATTTTATTTTTTTTTCTCACCCAAGGACATTTTTTTTGCTGAAGAGCGGGAGGGAGAGAGGGAGGAAGAGAGAGAAACATCGATGTGAAAGAGACACATCGAGTGGCTGCCACCCACACGACCCCAACCAGGGCCTGGGACAAACTGCAACCCAGGTACGTGCCCCCACTGGGAACCGAACCCGGGACTCTCTGGTCTGCAGGCCAACACTCTAACTGCTGAGCCAAACCAGCCAGGGCCATTTTAAATAATCACTGTGAGAGCTATGTGAGAATTGACTGAAGCAAGGCATGGGCAGCTGCAAGGAGACCAGTTCAGAGTCTATCACAATAATCTAGGCAAGAAATGATGGTAGCTTAAAAGCAGTGTAAATAGGGAAAGTGAGTATCTTTTGATTGTATTTTGAATATAGAGCTGACAGGATTTGCTGAGGAGTACAAGATAGGTCAAGGATTACTCCAAGTTCTATGGCCTCTGCAAGCAGAAGGGGCAGTTACCTTTGCTGAGATACAGAAGATTTAGAGCAGAGCAAGTTGGGTAGGAAGAGGGCAATATCAGGAGCTTAGGGTGGACTTGTGAGATTTGAGGTGCCTGTTAGACCACTGAAGCAGTGAAGAAGACAAAAATGAGTTCAGATTTTAGAGGAGAGGTCCAGCTGAAGATATAAATTTGAGAGTTGTCGGTGTATAGATGGTATTTAAAGCCTTGAGGCAGGATGAGATCACTGAGGGTCTAAGCTTCTAGGGCACTCCAACATTTAAAGGATACATTTTTTACATAATTTATCTCTTGTCTCCCAGTCTCTCTGTACCACTAAAACTTGCTTTGAGACAAGTCTAATACAAACCCATGTTTACATTTCCATGGCAATAGACTATGATGTCAACTAAAACCCTAGGTTATTCCTTTATATGTTCCAAGTAA